TTTGCCAATCAGGAGGATATGAGTGTTTGGTTATCGACGACCATGATACAAGCACTTCGAAATCTAGTTGATCTCTTCACTTACTATTTTGAGACGCTTGGAAATATGATAGAGGGCATGTTTGATTTATTGGGGTCGTGTTTGTGCCAAGGTAAGAAGGGACAGTGCTTTATCTGGCTTTGATATTTTTGATTAATTATTTGCATTTGAAACAGAAAATGACACTCTGGCGAAAATAGGCAGTTCCTGTTTGCAACAACTTATAGAAGATAATATAAACAAGCTGAATTACAATCATTGGCGTAAATTGAGTAAGATGTTTGCGCGGCTATTTAAAAGTACGACACCGTACAAACTACTAGATGATGCTCATCATTACAGAAACGCAGCGAAAGAGGTTGCCGAACAGATAGCCAGACAAGAAATTGAGAGCAAAGATGGGAACGATAACAAAGATGATAACGATAATATCAACGATGATGAGAACGGGAAAGAGAGAGAGCGAATAAAAAGCAGTGATGGTAAATGAGTTGCTGAGCACAACATTAAAATCACATGGGAAGTGTACTTTTGCGTTGGTTGCATTAATAACGAGTTTGAATATCTTTGGTCTTTATCAGAATCGGAGCCCTCAAATGGTCGAAGCTCTGTCACAGAAACTGATGTTGAGGCTACTACTACTCACGAGGTTTTACTCAGAAAGCAAAACGTAAAAATCGAATTAAGTGAAGAGAGGAAAGAAGAGTTTAATGATATAATAGTCAAATGTATCCATCAAATTGTGTTGATTGATACTGTTAAGGAACTAATTGGCAAAGACGCTGTGTTTGAAGCAATGCCAGTTGATCAGATATTAGTAATTGCAGAGTGTTTGCACACAAGCCATTTGTTTGCAAGAAAGTTTAACGCGAGAATGGATGTCAGGGTCGCTTTGTGGAGGATTGGTGAGTAGTAGAGATTAAGGGTAAAGGATGGGAAGGGGCCAAGTTTCGTGAAAGATTTTTTAATTTATTGTTGTATTAATGATAATAGGTTTTATGAATCAGTTACCCAATCTATTGAAACAAGAGACAATTAGTGCAGTTTATTATTTTGAATTTCTCACCAAATTGCAGAAAGACGGTGATGACCGCCTTTTATCGAAGAAGGATGAAGTAAAGAACAAACTTGTCTCGTAAGTGTTAAACTTATTTTAGTATTTGCAGCAAATTAACGAGCGACCGTCATTTCTGATAAGCATGTTTCTATGGTTAACATAACAATATTCTGATTGATCCCGCTGACTTTATTTATATTATACTATTACCAGATTTATATCTCATATATTAAAACAATTCTCAACGATGGAGCCAGACAATCAGAATAAGAACGTGATTGCGTGGTCACCGGTCGTCACTTCAGTCCTTGAAGCATACATTGATCTGGGAGACAATGATGTGGGTTTATATTGCCTAATGTTTTTATTTGATGATACTTGACTAATACGTTTGATTTATTCTTGTAGTTTCGCCATTATCTCTCTGAAATATATCCAGACGCAATAAATCTCTTATCCCGCGAGATTTCTTCAGATGTGCGGATGGCATTACACAACTTTCTCCTTCGTACCGGATTATTATATAATATCGTCCAGGGTTAATTAACTTAGAACTTTATATTTTTGTATTTTAATATATCACTAATGGATAATAATGATGGCATTCTCCTGTTACCCATTACTATCATTATGTGCACGGGATTTCCAATAATATTTTCACCAAGAAAAATTTCTTAAATCCAAGCGAACGCGTCAGGTTAATAGACCACACTTGGTTAAAAAACTCTCTAATCATTCAATCCGTTTCAAATAGGTTGATTCTAAACTTAAACTTCTGGTTAGGATTATTCAGCAACCACAAAGTTCAATTCTAGTAAATTTGACTTTTTGGTATTTCAACCATTATTATAGTAACCTATCAACAATAAAAGACGAATATTTGATATTAGTTGATTGACAAGTTCTTTCCCATTTCCCCCCCGGATATAAAATGTATTAAATGATAATTATTATGTTTCAGGATAATAATAAGACCTCGGAAGATATGTTTGTTACCTGTTTATTATAACAATACCACAGAATGGAATGGAAAGTATGCAAACGCGGTGAAATGACGCATCTATGAATCAATTGGGGCATGCTGCAACAAAACCAGACAAAGTGAACATTCTATTATGTAACATAAATGAGAGGCTGATTATTATGTGGCTGTAAAATTGACCAGGGTGACTGATGACGTTTTGAAAAGTAATAATAATAATGGGCTCATTCATAACTTATAGACTTGTTAATTTTAATGCTTACTTTATTGTACCAGAAGGTGATAAATATAAACCGTAACTATAACAGGATTAATATAGGGCTATCTCTATATGAAAAAATAATATGAAATTAAATCCACCATGGAAACCCAAAAAGTACAGCACAATTAGAAGCATTCTGAAGAAAGCTCAAAGTGAAAAAATTGTCTCATATTTTTTTAAAATAAATGACACCAAAATTCTCTAGATAAAGAAAAAGTACTTATGAAATTTACCAAAAAGAACGAAAAATCATAACTACTAAACGAGCATTAACACTAACACCACATATGATCAACCAAAAAAGAAGCGCAAACTTGAAGAAACGTAAGGAAAATAAAAGCTTCTCACCAACTGATCGAACGACTTGTCAACGGGAGGTTTGTTCCTTATTGATAAAGACTGGGAGAGCGCATTCGTTGAGCGTTAATCATAATTTGCTACTTTAAAACAATTGCAATCAGCATGTAAACTTCATAGTCTTGGTCAGTAGTTCTATGTTGTGGAGTTGACTGTTACAAATTATGCCATTTATCAACAGGCCGAGAACAAAGCCAATAAATACTCCGACAAAGAATTCGTTTGTGAATGTAAGCATTTCTTGTAGTGTTGTTGACAGATTTGTTTTAAGATGTATTGTTTCAGCTCTGCGGATGATCATTAGACAAACGCGAATTTTTGCGCATTGAGTATCATTGGTGCAGTCCTAATAATACGTCATTGTTGAGCCACTGATCAGCGTTCCTATTACTACATTATCCCTTAAACTGTATTGTCGGCAAATTTGCCTACAATTTTGATTCACCAACAAAATCGCTTTATATCACCTGATGCTACTAAGTAAATACTCCCAACATATATAGTTCGTTAGAAACGTTAGAAACGTAGCTATTGCAAAAGTTTCGATAGATCGGCAAGTACACCAAATTTAGGTTGCGTTTTTGATACACTACCCTCGGAAAAGTATTTGGTCTACAAAAAAATTATTTTATTTATTTAATTTTTTAACACAAACACGACATTTAATATTCTGTAGGCCATCCTTGATTCCTAATGCATGC